TGGTCCTTCCAAAACTCATGTAAGAACATATCAAACTATTATCGCTTTCTGATTTCCAGATCTCCCAAATTCGAAACATTCGGAGGACGTCGCGGTATTCGCCTGAACGCTTTGTCACGATCCGACTCTGGCCTGGCCACCAGTGCACCTGCTGCTCAAGGGACTTCTTCTGCCGTACGGGAGTCGCCCTGACTAATTTTCGAAATAATCACCTTTTGAAGTGTGCTCATGTGTCCCATCTACCATCTCGTCCTCTTGCTTCACAAACCCTTACTAGAATTTACTTAGCTTATGAATGAGCGTTATCAGATGACGGAGCTATGAACTACGTAGACACTTTTTTATATTTTAGTTTCAGTCAGCCATCAGAAGGTGGATATTTGTCAACTTCTATTTAGGAGTTCTCACTGAAATTTTTTTTGATTTGTATTAAACGTACTCTTCAAATGTATATTTTTCAAATGTGATTGCCAGGTGTGGTATGTGATTTCTGTTGGTTCTAATCTAGTTTTTGAAGGTCGGAAACGCTGCAAACGGTGACTATAATTCTGCAAACTTTTTCGCTTTAATAAAAATTCTTCTTTAATCGTTCTGTTGCACCAGCGGCTTATTGCCGTAGCATATACGGTTATTTGCTCTAAACATGAATGTTCGTATGTAAATGCTTTTCATATGTAGTTTTTTATCAACAGATGCCTCGTAAGTTCTTCGAGCACTGGGGCGGACGAAGGACATTCTCATGTGAAAAGTGCGGAACTTATCTATCGAATAGACAGGAAGTCGTATCTACTCGATTTAGTGGTAGAGGAATGCTTAGCATAGGTTGTCTATACTCTTGCTTACCGTATGCTATTTAGGAAGTACCGGTAGAGCGTTTTTATTTCGTCGAGTTGCTAATACACGTCAAGGAAGCCCTGTGGTGCGCAAACTGACAACTGGAAATCATATGGTACAGCGCTGAATCGATCTTGTCCTACCGTTCTTGTGCCGATTTGTAACCGAGATTTTCATTCCAGGTTCGAGATGTGTTCTGTCTTTGTTGTGGTACCAAACTGGGTTGGTTGTATGAGTTCACCTGCGAAGTTGCGGAGCGATATAAAGAAGGTGGGCAGTTTAGCAGTGGTGGCCTCAGTTTAGGCCGACTTCATAGTTCGATCCAGTCACTCAGAAAGGGTTGCAACGGAAAACGTACGTATTGGTTCGGAGAACACGCGATTCTTTGCGAAAAACTCTCCTTAGTCGCAGAATTTTGATATCGATTTGCAACCTCCCTCCCCCCCCCCCTCCCCCCACCTTAGTCGTACCTTCCCTCTATTCGTGCAATTTCGCAATTCATAGGGTGTGAACGCCTATGCTGAACGACTGCATGTGAATGACTCTTTTATGACATTCAAGAGATCTTGAGGGTTGAGGTTGACTTTCAGCGGCTCTTTGGTTTGCACTGTTAGTATAAAGTAAATAGATATGGAAACTGGTTCCTATTTAGGCCTTGCACCCTTTTAGTCGAGCCTTCCACCACAAGTTCAGAGAGCATATGGAGTCATATTCTCAGTTTCCTTGTCCATCAATTTGTTAGGAAAGGGTTCTCACTCATCCTATTCTGACACTGGTGTCAGTGCAGGCATATTTTCGTGGTAGCTGCGGATGACGAGGCGTGTCAGCGCGACTGCTTTTGGTACGGCACCTACCCGTTTTTTTTTTCTTC